TGTCGATATTGTAGGGATATTAGATTTATGAGGAACCTATTTTTTTGTTGATCTATATATCTAGGAATCTTTTATCCTTTGGGATTTGACTAAATTAGGGCGAGTTAAAATCGGTCTAACTAAGTCGGGTTATAAATGGATTAAAACTTCAATTAATTACGGGCTGGGGACAAGTTTAGACATCCATATCTTAATATCCAACTACTTACACCGTTCAATCATATTTTATGTTTTAAGTTAAATATGTTATTCATAATGTTACATATATACATACATAATATCAATTAGGTATAGCGTTATATTCTATATAATATATGAAAAAAATCAGAAATTACTGTTTTATTATTTTCAACACAACAAGTATTAAAAGTATGTGAATATTTATTTATTTATCTTAAAAACAACCAATTGGCATACCAAGATTCTTATGAATACTCTGAACTTAAATAATTAACAAAGCGGGCTCGGAATTGTCTTTCTTTTGCGGACCAAGTTAGCAGAAACGATGGCCTTGTTTGTAATTGATCCCGTTTTTGTTTTTCACATTTTTTGAGAAAAAAATGAAAATATTTTTAAAACGGCGTTTGGCGCAATAAAGACAAAAAATAAAAATGAAAATAATTTTTTAGTTTAGTGTAAAATGAGAGAGAAATGAAAAATGACTTTTTCATTTTTTATTTTCGTTTTCTCCTCTCTTGAGCAGAGAGAGAGAGAGAGAGAGAGACATTAATGAGTTTTTTTTATACTGAAAATAATCTCTTGATATAGCTACCAAACGCATTTTAAAAAATGATTTATGTCTTAAATTGAAAATATTTTTATTTTCATTTTCATACAAAAAATAAATTATTTTAAAACAAGTTTTAAACGCGCTCGATATATCACCGAGTTGCCATCTCTAGAAGGGTGGTATAACCCATGATTAATGGCAGGGCCGTCAATAGGTGGAACCGTGGAAGCACTGAAATTTTCATCATTTTAACTTCAGGATATAAATTCATAAAATTTTTAACTAACTATTCATTGTGTGCTCAAACTGAAAGTCAAAATTTAAAATGTATTCCCTCGCTAACTTTCGCTCTTTAGTTATACAAATATAGGTTTTATAATATTTTTTTTTTAAACTAAACTCTCGTTATACTCCACTTACATTTTATTATCTAGAATTTACATATCATTTTTACCAAAATTTTCAGTTATTCTTGTTTCCTAACATAGATTTTAGGTATATCCTCATTCTTTCGAATTAAAACTTGATTCTATCTAGGCTGAATTACAATACTTTTTAGGTTCATAATTTTTTGTCTTTAACTTTAAAAAACTCAAATAAACCTTATTGGTATATTTAGAGAAAAGAACAAAAGATAAACTATGAAAGAGTAAGAAGAGAAACATAGAATAATAAAATTGCAATTTTTTTTGGTAGAACTAAATTTGCAATTTTGTTCGGAGATACATACATATATATATATATATAGCTTTCAAAAGACATTTATAGACAAGTGAGTATATATAGCAATAACAAAAGCAGACCAAAATAACACAATAAATATAAAATATGGCATACGGACCATGAACTTATAGACAATTAGGGGAAAAAGTTTATAAAAAATGTTGAAAGTACAATATTATTGTGGGTTGCCTCAATAAATATGTTTGGTATCTTAGTGGGGTGGAAGGCAGTTTGGCATAATTTGTCTCACACCAAAATACATGCACAGACGTACTGCTTGCACTAGAGATACAACTAGCTAGCATATTATCTATAAAATATTTGCATCCGACAATTTTTTTTATTATATAAAATTGATATGTTTTTAGAGAAAAAGTGCCAACTTTAGGGGCATGTTTAATTCACTGATTCGAGTTTTTAATTCGAGTTGAGATGTGGTTTTATGTGAGAGCTTTTTACTATAGCAAAAAAGTTAGATGTGATTGTTTGTGAGAACTTTTTACTATAGCAAAACTTGAATTTTAAACTCTAATCAGCGAAAATTTAGGATTAATTTTATTTTTCTCCCAATGGAGACAAGCTTTAGAGTTTTATATGGTGTTTTTTTGTTGTTATTAACACATCAAAAACCCTTCTTTCAGATACAAGTGATTCTAGTCAACTTGTGGGTCGTACCAAGAAGTATACTTGGAAGCTTCAAAGACTTTAAGCTTTCGCTTTCCATATGTACATTAATAAATAAAAATGAAAAAAAAAAAGAAACTTAACATAAAATTAATTATCAATCGCTCATTATCCTTACAGAGAGTCCACGTCTGCTAATACATCACAAACCATATTTTCAATATAATACCTATATGTGTACGTGAGAGTGTTTATATATATACACACACATATAAAAAGATAAATTTCATCCGATTACCTTTTTTTTAATGGGAAAATACCTGCTCTACACATTAACAATTAAGCCCGACAAAAAAACGAAACTACTATAATTGATAGATAAAACTAGTTGACCGTGACTAAAAGACCTATTTGTCACTCGTACTCATTTTTGTGTCTTATTTATCTTTATTGATGCATTCGACTATTGTCTATAGTCGAATACCCTCTATCTTAGAGTCTATATTCACTTAATTATCAAATGAAATTTCCTCATTATTAAAAAAATACCTACTTCATCTATTTGAAATTAATTTGAAGTTGGTAATGAAAAGCTTGAGAGTTAAGCAACTTTATACATATTTTACTAATTACTTGGAGCCTTTATGAAAGTACGAGAATTCTCTAAAAATGACATAAGCCATGGCGTTTATGAACAAGTCCACTCCTATCTTTATTTAATTAATGACCGCTAGTCATGACCCACACTGAAAATGACTTAAAAGGAATTTCCCTCTCTTTTTTTCCTACACGATAAGAGTTTGAAATATTCCCAGAAAGTTATGCCCACTTTCCTTGAGTTTTACTCCAAACATAAAAGAGTCGAAGTACAAAATGGATACAAAATGGGTACCGTATCCTTTTGAATTATATGCGATGATTCATTCGTGCTAATATTTTCCTTGCTATGCTAATCTTACTCTTATCATACAATCTCGTTCATTTCACCGATTTAATTTTTCAATTTTAGGTTTCTATAGTAAAAAGCTCTCAGAAAATGTCACATTTAACTTTTTCTGTTACAGTAAAAAGCTCTCAGAAAATATCACATCTCAGTTCGAATTGAAAACTCGAATTGAAAGCTCTCAAAAAATGTCACATTTACACAAAACTAACGTTTTCTTATGTAAAAGCTAGTGTATTTGTAAATTATATATAGTTTTTTTATTATGGCCTTAGAAGGATTAACTTTAGAACAAAATGACTTCAAATAGGTAACGTTGAAAACAAAAAAGGTCTTTCTACAATTACATCAAAATTAAAAACTATATAAAAATATGTTCATTTCACTAGTTTAAATCACAATTTAAATTTTTTATTGTAATAAAAATTTAAATTTAAATTTTTTATTACAAATATTTTTTTCCTAAATGAATTTATTTTTTAACTCGAACGAGCGAAACGAACGGAGTAGTTACAAATCTGATACATAAAAACAAAAAAAAAATCTAAAAGAAAATGTGAAAAAATGACCGTAGTCTCGTTCACTTCGCGGATTCGAGTTTTTAATTCGAGCTGAGATGTGACATTTTTAGAGAGCTTTTCACTATAGCAGAAAAAGTTAGATGTGACATTTCTGAGAATTTTTTATTATAAAAATATAAAATTAAAAACTAAAATCGGTGAAATGAACGAGGCTAAAAAGACACCAGCCTCCTAGTTGTATGGACACACAAAAAGAGGTTTTTACAGGGGAACTCTCCATAGAAGAGTCCACACCACGTGGTTGGAAATACTGTCCCTCAGTGGCGCGTACAATCACTCTCTCTCTCTCTCTTTCTCTACTAATTCCTACGTACTCATATATTTCTAGTATAAAAATCATCATATATTTCAAGTATACAAATCATTCTCATCCCAAGATTACTTCTCTCAATTCTCATCTCTTCAAAACCGAAATCCTCTGTATAGGGGAAAAAAAAGAAAAAAGAAAGACCCAACTTCATATTTTTGCATTTTTATCCAAAACCCGAATCAAAATCCAACACGCCCATTAATTTCGGAACCGCAATCGCCTTCTTTGGTTGCTTCTTCAGAATCACACACACACATATATATATATATATATATATATATATATATCCTCATTTTGAGGTAATGTCATATCCTACACCTTTGCTTTTTAATTCTTTTCGTCTTTCTTATGTTCTTTCAAGTTTTTTCCTTGTTTGGTTACTAGAGCTAGAAATGGTAATTTTTTTTTTTTCATTTACGCCTTTTTCAATCGTTATTTTGTTGGTTTTCTTTGTTTGTTACCGTTTTCGATGAAATAGTTCTTCTGGGTTTTTTTCTACTTGGTTTTTTAATCTTTATTTGATCTAAGATAGCTTTAGAAAATTATTGAGTTGTTTTTGGAACGGGTGTATGTTAAAAGAAAACTCCTCTTCGGGGTTTTATGTATATTTGGTTTTCGGAAAAGTTTCAGTTTTGATAGGAAAACCAAACTCGGTTTTGCAGATCCATCCTTCTTCATAGCAATAGCGCATGAAAGTTCCAATTTTTGTTTGATGCAGAACAATGGTTGTTTGTCTTACTAATCGACATTGCTGTAGCAAGAAATGGATGTTGTGGTTTTCTTTTTTCCTTTTTGTAATTTGATAGTTACTTTTAGCTTTGTTTTTGCCTTTTGGCATATGGGCATATTCTAGTAAGTCTTATTAGATCTGATTCATTATGTTATGGGATTCATTTGAATAGTTTGCTTGCATAGTTGGATAATGCCGCATTTCATATTGTAAAGAGCTCCTTAGATCTTTTGATAGCATCTTTTTTTTTTTAATTTATGAAATACATTTTCTAAAATGAAAAAAAAAAAATGTTTACTTTGTGTGTTCTAACAAGGAATCCGGATTTTACAGGCTGCTAAATTAGCCTTCATTGTAAAATGGGGATTTCATTTTCTTGTCCGTTCGCCGAACACTCTGACGAGGAAAGTGGTATGGAATCTGTGATTGTAAAATCCATAAGTTTTGGAGATGGGCAAGTGAAAACCCCCGTTCGATCCGTCAGTTTTAACCGCGCGGACTTGGAACCGACGATTTCGAAATCTTTAGGCTCTGGAAAAATGGCTCTAGAAACATCAGTTAGCTTTAAAGGGAGCGAGTTTGAGAGGATGGTCTCGGTTAAGGTTCCTTCTTTGGACAAAGAAAAGAACATGTCTATTAAATCAATTGACTCAATTTGGAAAGAGATAGGGGATGAAGATCGGTCCCCGAAACTTGAAAGCCCTGCGGAGTTGATCGAACCTTCAATTTCCAATGCCATCCCGGACAGAGACATGGCCGCTCTGAAACTTCAAAAGGTGTATAAAAGCTTCCGAACCAGAAGGAAATTAGCAGATTGTGCAGTTCTCGTAGAGCAGAGCTGGTATGCATTGTCATCATTTTGTTCTAATATTTCCATATTTAACAACAAAGTTACCATGTTTCTATCTTTGCTCTAATGAGGCTTTTTGTGTCTATTTTAGGTGGGAGCTCTTAGATTTCGTTGAACTCAAGAGGAGTTCGATATCATTCTTCGAAATTGAGAAACATGAATCTGCCATTTCGCGTTGGTCTAGAGCGAGGACCAGAGCAGCCAAGGTAGAATTCTAACACATTGCTAAATGTTTCTTCTTTTGCTTTCGTAACTAATTCTTAGACAAAAAATTATAATATTTTTTTTCACTTTTGCAGGTTGGAAAAGGTTTATCAAAGAACGATAAAGCACAAAAGCTAGCTCTGCAGCACTGGCTTGAGGCGGTAAGTTGATTGTGTATGAGTAAATCCAAGTTGAAAGAATTTTTTGTTTGGTTTTGATCAGCCTTTACTGATATTTGTTACTCATTCGAAACAGATTGATCCAAGGCATCGATATGGACATAATCTTCACTTTTATTACGTTAAATGGCTTCATTGTCAGAGTAGAGAACCCTTCTTCTACTGGTAATATTCTCTAAGCAATTCCTCCTTCTTTCCTTAATTCAATATCTTATTCTACTTATCAAGAATTGAAACTGAAGAATGTTATATGACATGTGAAACGCAGGCTAGATATAGGAGAAGGGAAGGAAGTAAATCTCGATAAATGCCCTCGGTCAAAACTTCAACAACAGTGTATCAAGTATCTCGGTCCGGTAAGCATTTACATCTTTAACGATCCTCCTTTAACATTTTCTTTTCTAAATTTTTTTCTAATTTGTTTCTCATGAATATAGAGGGAAAGAATGGCCTACGAGGTTGTTGTGCTGAATGGGAAATTCTTCTACAAGAAATCAGGGGAGTTCGTCCACACCACTTCAGAAGGCAAAGATGCTAAGTGGATTTTTGTCCTTAGCACTTCTAAGATCTTGTATGTCGGCAAGAAGAAAAAGGGTACATTTCAGCATTCGAGCTTTCTGGCCGGAGGAGCCACAACTGCTGCTGGGAGATTAAGCGTTGAAAAAGGCATCATGAAGGTACTTTTGTTGAAACACAAAAAGCTCATAGAATTTTCAGGCCTCCACTGTTTTCATATTTCCCGTTGTTTGTTGTCTTATCATTTGTTGCTATGTTTCAACAGGCAGTTTGGCCTCACAGTGGACATTATCGGCCTACTGAACAGAACTTTAAAGACTTTGTTTCTTTCCTTGAGGAGAACAATGTGGACCTGAAAGATGTTCAGGTAAGAAATAAAGTCATTGTTGGCTTTTGTCATTAATCTAATGATTTAACATTCCTTTTACAAGTGTACACGTGAAAGTAACATTTGCTGAGAATTTCCCATTTCTTTCATTTTCAGATGAGTCCAGTTGACGAGGATGAGGATTCACTTAGCAAGCAACGAAGTAGTCTTCATGTCAGAAGCAACTCATCTGATGAGGACTTGACTGAAAATCTCAGTGGCTTAGAGACCAAAGAGATCCAAGATGCTGAAGAGACCAATGTTGAAGACTTAACTCAGGAGATTGCAGATTCAATCGGGAAATCGGCAGCTGCTCCACCAAAACCACATATGCCAAAGCGGTTCTGTAGCCTCAGTAAAAATTTGGTTAATCTTGAAATACCAAAGAGAGATAAATTGTTCAAGAGATTGGATAGTGAGAATGAAGCTTCTATTATTCATTTAGAGTCCTCCTTGGATGGTCATGAAACAGCAGAAGAAGTAGCATTTCAAACTTCAAATCAGGAGAACATGATTCCAAATAACTCTTCTGACCAGAACCATGAAGAGAACGAAATAGAAGCAATCCCCGAAGAATCGATTCTCAAAAGGATCAACTCACGCAAAGGAATGAATTCATACCAATTGGGAAAGCAGTTGTCCTGCAAGTGGACAACTGGAGCAGGACCCCGAATCGGTTGTGTTAGGGACTATCCCTCGGAGCTCCAGTTCCGAGCTCTAGAGAAAGTGAACTTGTCTCCTAGAAGCAGCGCTGCGCGTTCTAGATCGTACTTCTCTCCTCGGATCATCAGTGGATTAAGTCCAAAGGTGTTAACGCCAGCAAACTCTGGAGATGAAATGGCAGAAAACTCATCATCAAGAAATAGTAACCATTCTATAGCACAGCCGTCCCCGTTGATAAGAGGAGCCTCGGCAACCATACTTCGCTAATCTGTCAGATTTGACAACAATTTTCTTGATTAATTCATTTTTTTGTGTGAATAGAAGAGATGATATAGGAATTCTTTATCATTCTTTTCAGCTGAAAAATCATGTACACTATCTTTTTGTTTCATTCATCATCATCAAGTAGGAAATGAGATAAAAGTTGTAGTCTTCTGGGAAGTTTTAATTCCCCGTTAATGAAAGATATCAGCCCATATTAAACTTCCTTTTAGTAGTCACTTAAGCATGTGATCAGCACATGTTTCAATACAATATCTCAAGTCACATAGGTGGGTCAAATCTCAACATCATAACAACATATATTCATGCACACTATCAGTGTCTTCTCATTGATTTTGTTTGGTTTCTTAACCTTGGATGTAGTAAATATTGACTCTGTGATCCTTCCAAAGTTTGAAACTTGGTTTTGGTAGATCAAAGATTACACACTTATTATTATTATTAATTAATTAGGCCTCCTTTATTTCAGGAGCAGTGGATCTTGTGGCTCCTTGTTCCTTGACAACCAAGTTTAGCGGGTTTTTTTGTTCATATCTTTTGTTTTGACCGCTTTCATTAGTATTTGGCTGGGTTAGCACCATAGGGTATTTTACTTCTGTATTCTTCTTTCTTTTCTTAAAGAAAGAAAAGAGAAAAGTGATAGAGCTAGTAGAGGATTGCTTCTTGCTTGTTTTGCAAGTCCATTGCGAATCCGGGCCTCTTTCAGTCCCTCTAGTGCTTCAACGAGTTTTAAGTTTTTCATTTTTCATCTCTCTTTATGGGCTAGAGTTAATTAGTTAAACCTTCTAATATTTGATTTGAAGGACTTGCAAATTTAACCCTTGTTAGTACTTATGAACATCAAGTTTTTTTGTTTTATTTTTTGCTCGTTAATAAAATATGCTATGTTTTATTTGAAAAGTGTTAAAAACTTATTATTATTATTTTTATCATATAAAAAGCAATTCAAAGAGCTCAATGGCCAATGGCCTACTATGTCAAGCACGAGTACAATACAGCATGAGCATGAGCATGAACTAACACGACATGAGCACGACATGTGTCTAGGTTTATGCGTCGGGTTAGGCTTATAGTTTTCATTCTTGGACTGGCACGAACATGTCACGAATCTTCAACGGGTCAGGCCAAGCAGGACACGAAGTACGCATGGGCCTTACTGATTATGGGCTAGGTCGGCACGACACGGTACATTTGACATCTCTAAGTGATTTAGAACGTTCCATTCTGAATTATATGACATAAAATAAAAATAAAACCAAAAACCTAAACACACCCACCCCAAATGAGAAATTTGCATAATTTACCCTTAGGGGTGCATGAGTATAGATTTTTATCACTCTTTCTTAATTAATACCTTTTTATTAGTATAATGATTTGATTAAAAATGTTATTAATAGTAAAAATTCTACCTATACAATTTTAAAGAATATTTGTCTCATTTTTCCAAAACAAATTAAATGGAGTTTGCAACCCCAAGATAGAGAGGGCCAATCTGAAACACTTGTGTTGCCTATTGCTGAAGTCTGCCGCTGATTTGGAGAGAATTGGGTGCCATGCCCCTTGTTCAAATCGGTCTTCATTTGTGCCCTCCACTTATTTAGTGTTAATCCTAATTCCTTAATAGAGATGTCAAATGGGCCGACGGCCCGGCCCAGCCCAGCCCGTAATAGTGTCGGATTTGGCACGGCCCATTTCGCTACTGTTACAGGCCGTGCCCGGCACGTGTAATGGGCTAGGGATGGGCCTCAGCTTCTCAGCCCGCGGCCCAAGCCTGGCCCTAGCCCGTGGAGGCCCACGGCACGGCCCGTGTTCGGCTCGGCACAAGCCCTAATTCGGCCCTTGTTTGGCCCGGCCTAAGCCCGCGAAACGGCTCGTGAAACAGCCCATTCTAAATGCTCTCGTGGGCCCTTCGCGGGCCCAACGGGCGGCACGTGATTGGCCTCCCGTGTGGCCCGTCACGGGCCTCCCGTTTGGCACGTGACGGGCCTCCCGTTTGGCACGTGACGGGCCTCCCGTTAGGCTCATCACGGGCCGCCCGTTGGGCCCGTGAAGGGCCCAACGGTAAGAATCCGAAAATCCACCCTAAATCCTCTATAAATACCCCTTAATTCCACCATAAATCCCACACAACAATTCACTCTCAACTTCTTATCTCACTCTCATTCTATCTCTCAACTTGTCTCTTTGATTTTGATTCTAAGCTTTTTTCTTGCGTTCACTCATTTTCTTACTCTTTTATTTACAAAGTTCAAGTTCAATCAATTTTCAGAAAATGGCCGCACCAAACTTCCTTGATTTCACTGCTCTTCCTGAGCTTGGTGATAAGGCATTTTTTTAGGAAGAAATGATGTCTCCTAACCCCACCCCCACTGAACCAGAAAATGCTCCGGTGGATAATGCTTCAGTGCACAATGAGGAAGCTGGAGAACGTAGCAGGGGAAAAAGACCGCAAACTTCTCCGGCATGGTAGCATTTCACCGAGGAGGCCCGACCAAATCCAAAAACAGGTGAAATGGAAATTCGTGCGGCATGTAAATATTGTAAAAAATACTTTTTCTAATAAAAAGAGTGGGGGTACTGGTCATATGGATAGACATTGGAAAGTATGTCTACTGTTGCACCAAGGTGGGAGTGTGGACTCCCGCCAACAAACACTATCACTCACATCACAGGGGTTACAAAATTTTACATACGATGCACAACGTGCGCATGAGGCACTAGCTAAATTTCTAGCTAGTGCCGAATTGCCTATTTCTTTTGCAGATGATGCATTGTTCGAAGAATTCATTCAGACAGCCTTCTGCCCACAATTTAAACGGGTAAGTAGAAACACAGCTCGTTCTGATTGCATGAAAGTGTTTTATGCAATGAGACAATATCTTATTGATAATTTTAGGACTTTTAATGCTACTATCTCTTGCACTTCCGATATGTGGGAGGGGTGCAATAAAACTGGACATTTATGTGTTACAGCGCACTACGTTGATGATGATTGGGTTTTACAAAAAAAAATAATTAGTTTTCGTTTATGTCCATATCCTCATAACGCATTATCTATTTTTGGTACAATAATGGAAATTTTGGATTTTATGGGATAAAAGATAAAGTTTTAACAATTACTTTTGATAATGCGCCAGCTAACACAGTTGCAATTAACATGTTTAAACATAGTTTGAAACCAGCGTTTGGGGGGGAAATTTTTCATCAACGGTGTGCATGTCACATAATTAATTTAGTAGTTTAGGCATGAATTGAACGTATCTCAGCTAATCTTACAAATATTAGAGAATCATTATCATTCATATCTAGTTCTGGAGCTCGGCTCCAAGAATTCAAATAATATTGCAGGAACAGTCAGATGTGCCCTAGAAAGTTTCCAAATGACGTGAGACATAGGTGAAATTCCACATATTTAATGTTGAAGGTAGCACTCCCGTATTCGCAGCTTATCACGACATACGTAAACAGTAAGAACGATCAAATTTTAATTTTCGATCCTGATTGACAGATTGCTGAGTATTTTTTTAAAATTTCTATAAGTTTTTTACAATACTACTGAATTACTTTCTGGAGTTTATTATCCTACTGCACATTTAGCTTTACATCAATTGTTTAATATTTTAAAAACATTTTCTTATTATAGGGATACATAACTTTTTGGAAATATAGTTAAGTTAATGGAAAATAAATTTAAAATTTATTGGTCAGGTTGTCCTATGTTATATGCATTGGCAACCATTTTAGATCCTAGGTGAAGAGTAGATGGGACTGAATCATTGATAACTGCTACCGCAGAAAATTTAGAAATAGATATGCAACTAATTATTACTAACGTTAAGAAAATATTAGAAAAGATTTTTAGTTTGTATGAAGCAAAATACATCACAAGTAAAAAAGAACAGGGAACTTCATCGTCAACCAGCAGTTCAGGGCCTAAAGGATCGTCGTGAAGTTTCTTGAAGAAGAAAGAGAAAATGACAGGATCGTCCTCAACACAAGCGTCTACTGAACTAGTAAAATATTTTGAAGTAAATTTTGTAATCGATGACGACAAACTAGACATCTTACAGTGGTGGAAGAGCAAGACCGATCGTTTTCCAAACTGTCCGTAATAGCTCGTGACATTCTGACAACTCCAGTGTCAACGGTAGCATCAGCACAAGCTTTTAGCGCAAGCAACCGAATTCTTGACGAGAAGAGAAGCAGAATGCATCCAGATATCTTGGAGGGGCTAATGTGCGTTAAAGACTGGGAAAATGCTAGAAGACGAAAACAACAATACACAGATGATTCAATGCAAGAATATTTTTCTAGCTTAGAAATAACAGAATCTTCTGGAAGCACTTAGGTTTGTAATTTACTATTCCTAGCTACTACACTCTTTTTTTCTTCGCTAAGGTTTTGTCCCGATCTCCCCACGGGTTTTACTTAGCAAGATTTTTAACGAGGCAGTCATTTATGTGTACTTATTCCTATTATGTCAATTCAATAAAATCACATCTTTTAGAGGCATATGATATATTTTTTTAATTAAATTTAAAAAAAATACAAGGGCCGGGGTCGGCCCGTGAAGGGCCTGGGCCCAGGCCACGGCCTTCGCCCTTATGGACAAGGGCCAAGGGCCTTGACCGGGCCTGAGATTTTCTTCTCAGGCCCAGCCCAGGCACGGCCCTGCACTGTGCAGGGCCATGCCAGGCCCGTAATGGGCCTAGTGTTGGACGTGCCGTGCCGGCCCAGCACGGCACGACACGTTTGACACCACTATTCCTTAACATTAGTTAAAAAAAAAAAGTAAAAATCCTCATAATGACCTAATCAAGAGCACATCGTCAAACAAAATAATCATAAACTTTAATATTCTTGATCAATTTAATATTTAATATTCTTGATTAATTTACCTTTAAAAATACATAAATTTAAATTTTTACTCATTATTATTAATTAATACTCTTTTATGAATATAGTTATTTGACTAAAAAATTATATTAATTAAGAGTAAAAAGTAAAAATCAAGATTCATGTACTTTTAAGAAGTATTTATCAAAATTTCTCTTTTTTTTTTTATATATTCAACAACAATTTTTTAATAAACCATCGTATAATTTATACATTAGATGATGGTTTCCTAATGTTTGGTACAAAATTTTTGAAAGAAAAATATTAGCATTATTTTTTTTGTCACTCTCTTTATTTTACTCTTAACATTCACTGTTTGATACGTGAACTTTAATATCTCATTTAAACAATGAAGGCTGAGAGTAATAAAGAGAGTAATGTTGTATTTATCATGTTCGAAACACAAATTTCCGTCATCATCTAATGTTATTTATAGAACATTGAAATCTTCTCACCTGTCTTTATTATTTTTCCTTTTATATTAGACGAGCATATTCCCTTAATATATTGTTAAATAGGCCTCATCTAATCCTAATATTACAGTTATATGCGTTAACTGTTATCACCATTAAAACTCATACAACGTATTGTTCATGTAATGATTTTCTTAAATTCGGTAAATGTTTTTTGGTCATATATGATTTTTTTTTTCAAGGTAATTCAATCTTAAATTCATTCTAGGGATGTCAATGGGGCGGGGCACCCCAAATGGGGCAGGTCGACCCACACTTATAGAGGTTATGGGGTGGGGCGGGTCGATCTAGATCTGCCCCATTTACAAAAAAAAAAAAAAAAAGATGTTTGACCAAACTAAATATGAGTCTTCTTTCATTCTAATTTTTAATGTTAGTTTACTGATCTATCTAAAAAATTTAAACTGTTAAGATGTGAGTTAATAATAATTTTATACTTTAACACTTTTTTTCACGTGTGAGTTAGACAATGATAATCTCAACACATGATAACAATATAAATAAAAATAAAAAATAAAATTACACGGGTTTAAACTTAAGACTCCCGCTCTGATATTATATTAATTTATTAATTCATCTCAAAAATTTAAACCGTTAAAAAATAGACTGATAATAATTTTATACTTTAACCCTAAGCTCAATTTAACAAAAAAAATTTTTTTGAGGAGTCGTGGTCTAGAAAATATCTTGGACAAACACATATCCCCTTTTGATTTTAGAGAGAGAAAGTACTCATGTATATATATATATATATATATGTGCAGAGAGAAATGGTTCATTCCAAATTAGAAACTAGAAAGTAGCAGCATTCTAGAGAGAGAAATTGGAGATTTTTGGGAAGACATTGATATTGTAGAGAGAGAAAGCAGAAGAGAAGATATGAAGATATAATGCAATCAATCAATCAAGAGAGCTTATTAAATTAAAATAAGAATTTATATCGATCAATTTGTTTTGAAAAACCTCCTTTTTTTGCGGGTCGGAGAGGGCCAACCGCCCACGACCCACTGGGTTTTGACCCGAACCGCCCCGCCCTTATATCGTTCTGTAAAACTATTCTAAAGGTATATGGTATTGCCATTTTCGTGTGTGGCGCACGTTTTTCCATTTCCATTTCTTTTTCTTTTTAACATTTATCAATAAAGATATCTATCATTTTTCTGCATATTTCGGCATTCAATTTCCACCCAAAACTGAAAACAAAACTCATTTCAGAAAACTCCTTCCCTTTAGCGCCAACCAAATATTCAGCTCAACATCATCTAATTCCTCATCAGACATTCATCATGAACCGAAAAGCGCATCAAACTCCAAGCTTTTCACGGCCACATCATCATCGTCCGTTTCGACGGAGCTCGAGGTAGGAACTGATCATGAGACCGGAGATGGCAAATTCGATTGGTATTCGCAGTGGTATCCGGTTATGCCGGTTTGCGATCTGGATAAGAGGGTCCCACATGGGAAGAAGGTGATTGGTCTTGATGTGGTGGTGTGGTGGGACAGGAATGAGAGTGATTGGAAGGTGTTTGATGATAGTTGTCCTCATAGATTGGCACCACTCTCTGAAGGGAGGATTGATCAGTGGGGCCGGTTGCAGTGTGTTTATCATGGTTGGTGTTTTAATGGCTCCGGTGACTGCAACTTCATCCCTCAAGCACCCTCCGACGGTCCACAGGTAGGGACTCACAGCCCCGTTTAGTTGTTAATAAGCCATTCAATTAATAAAAAAATAAAATAAAAGATCATAATGATAGATTATTATTTAAAATGACATAAATAATAAATTTACATAAATTATATATTTTTTTTATTATTATAAATTATTTTTAAGAGATTTTTTAACTTTAATAACCAAGGGTTTTAATGGTTATGATAAATTGTGTACTTTTCTCTTATTATAATTTTTTTAAGAGATGATACACTCTATTGCCGTTGAGTGGACTTTTGACTTTAACATCCGAGGGTTTTGACGATGGCACACGTTAAGATATTTTTCATTCGAAAAAGCTTTACAACATTCTATCAATAATATTAGGTCTCATTCATTTTGCGGATTTGAATTTTTAATTCGAGTTGAGATGTGATATTTTTTAAAAATTTTTCATTGTAACAGAAAAAGTTAAATATGATATTTTCTGAAAAAATTTTATTGTAAAAACTTAAAACTGAAAACTCGGTGAAATGAACGAAACCTTAAATTACGTACTTTATAGGACAGTAATTGATCAACAAACTTGCACTAGCAAACAAATTTGTAAGAAGGCTTGTGAATTCAATACCTTAGGCATGTGCGCCAGCAAACATTTTGACTTTAGTTAGGAAAAAAATAGCAAAAATGATTTGTCACTATTGTGTTACCTGTGTACAGAGCTGCTTTGTGAAGAGTGAAATCTCGTGAGAGGGAAAAAAGAAAAGGAACATGAGAGAGAAGAAAAATAAATATAGAATAAGAGACTCAAAGATTCATTCTACGTGCGGAAAAGGGAAAACAAAATTGAAAAAACCAAACAAAAGGATACCAAACGTCAGTGAAAAGAGTGAACCAAAATGACATTTAAAAGAGGAAAAAAAAAAGAAAAAAAAAAGAAAATAAAAAGTCTAATGAAACAATTTTGAATTCCAAAACCAAAAAGAACCAAAAAAAAAAAAGAAAAATTCATATGATGATTGCTAAAATTACTGGGAACACACTTAAAATAATATATAAAAATCAGTATACATGTAATTCTTTTTAATTTTCTTAAGCTTGCACGTGCCCCCACTGACCCTCCCTCCCTTGAATCTGTCCCTGGTTTTCTACCTATTTTGTGTGCAAGAGTAGGTCTTTTAACTTAAAACTTTAACAAATATATGGTTTTTTCTTTTAATTTTTCATTTTTAGGTGTTGAGCACTTGTAAGCCTTTTCGGTCTTGCTTGTTTTGTGTTGTGCTTCAGTCTACTTTCCTGTGAGGATTTAGGGTGATGCCAATTGTCCCCTCTCTTTTAAACGCAAAAGTAACTTGGCATAAAATAGGTGGTAAAAGTTTTGGGTGGCCATATAATTGAGATGTTTTACTTATTTATCCTTTAGGAATCAGGGTCAAATGTCTGCTCAATGATTAGAAAAAGGAGTCAAATCAGTCCTGTTAGCATATAGCATTTGTTTTTAAAAAATCACAATTGATTAAGTGGACATTTAATTTATAAATTTAGAATTATTTTTTATTAATATGTGTTTTTTATGAAAAAAATATTATAATAAATTACGAATTATGATTCAAATTATAATACGAATATACTAATTAAACGCACGCTTCTCTGCAACTCTTTTACGCAGTTTCACACATTCAAGAAAGCATGTGCAGCTGCTTATCCAAGTACCGTGCAGAATGGCATCCTTTGGTTTTGGCCCAACACTGATCCTCAATACAAAGACATACTTTCGGAGAAAAAGCCCGCTTATATCCCAGAACTTAATGATCCATCGTACAGTAAGTCAATGGGAAATAGGGAATTTCCTTTCGGGTATGCAAACATTTCCTTCAACAAATGTTTTCTGATCCCATTTATCTTGTTGTCCCTGACCCTAAAAATTAAGAGAATTTCTCTAATAGGATTAAAAAAAATAAACTACAAGTAGTTTTTTACTACAAAAACAGTCTATTCTACGTACTTTTTTCGATAAGGAAGTCTTACGAAGAAAGTTCTTAAAATTAATTTACTCTTAGTTGAACCTGTAATAATGCATATTGTGATAATAAGGTTTTAATTCTTATTTTTGGGGCTTATACTAGTGATATAACTTTCTATGATATTATTTATTGTTTAATTAGTTTCAATCTTATTTTGGTTGCAATATTTATCCTAGAATAGGTTTCTAGATTCCAATTATATATTGTGTTAAAACTTAAAACTGCTTCTGTAAAATTAGACCTGACAATGCATTTCTATTGTATTCTATTTTTTTGAAAAACTAAAATATCAACTAATAGAGCTGAACATTAATCTCTGGACTACAAGTTGGCACTTGTTAATCTAGATACAATTTAGGAGAAAAGATGTTAGGGTTTCTTTCATTCAATTGCATTGAAAAATACATCAGAAAATAAAGTTTATAAAGACTTGCAGGATAAATAATGAGACTATTCTACCTTGACTGAAGATGAAAACAAATAATAATGATGGACTTAGTCCCTGTAAAAATGCACCGATTCTTTACTTTTCAACCGTTAAATCTGTATTAAAATTTATCTGTTTTGCATACATGGTCAAAAAACTGGGACTAGTAGTAACCAGAGAAACTTCCTAATAATAATAATAACTAATATCATTTAATAGCACTCACTCCTCTTGGTTCTCTCTATCATGTTTTCTTCGTCCTGGTTCTTCATGTCAAAGAAGATGAGAAAAAATCAAAAATAAAAATTAGCATGCCAAATCAAAAAGGGGTTATTTAGCTACAAATTGAATCGATTTTATAATATAATTTCCTTGTAAGAAGGTATCTGATGGAAGTTTGTGTGATTTCCCAGATATGAGGTCTTGCTTGAAAACCTTATGGATCCATCACATGTTCCATATGCGCATTACGGACTACTGCAAACTCGACAACCAGAGAGTAGATAACAATCTTCAGATCCTTTGTAGTTGAATCAGTTCTAATTTCACCTCTCTTGATCATATGCATAATATTATGCATGAATCTTCATTTTCATGCAACGATATTCTTAATTTATGCAGATAAGGCTGATAGAGAAGGGGGTAGACCAATGGACATGAGAGTGGAGAAGTTGGATAAATATGGATTTATAGCAAAGCCAGACTGGGTGGGCACTAATGAATTTATTTCGCCATGTGTTTTTTATTCTCATTCTCGTCCTCTACCAGATCAAGGAAATGAGGCTGCATCATCAGCTGGCACCAAAAAGGTATTTTTTATGTTCCACTTGAGCAATGGTAGCTATAATTTATTAATGATTTCTCTGCTTTTATTGTATCACTAATGCAATGTCAAATTTTTATGCTGATGCCAAAACTTAGCATTTGGTGTAAGAAAATCATTCTTAAATGCACTGTTATACCTAATGTCAAATTTGGTATGAGAAATAGCATACGCCAAATTTTGTCATTTGTTGCTTATTGGTTGACGAGTTAATGTTTTCATCATTACTACAAAAACGATTTTTGTTTTGCCTTTTTTTTTCATTATTTAAAAATTAATTTTTGTTACATGTTTAAAACAATAGGATTCATGACATTTTTTGTCATATAGCATTTAAAGTATACATAAAATGGAAAAACATATCAGATTAATAAATCATTTTTATCCTTTTTTTATGGGCGTTATAGCGCCTTATTAGCATTAGCACTTTTGCATTGGAAATAATTAGTAGTTATTTTGTTTGCTAATTAGCAGTCATCAGTGGAAAGGGGAATAGCTTTAGTTTTCTTTGCCGTTCCAGTCACTCCAGGTAAAAGCAGATTGATATGGGCTACGCCAAGGAATTTTGCAACTTGGATTGACAAAATTGTTCCGCGGTGGATCTTCCATCTTGGACAGAATACGATATTGGATTCAGACTTATATCTTCTTCATGTTGAGGTGACTTCTTACTAGTTAGCTGGATATTCCTTCCCATGCAGGCAATATTTTGATTGTTACTCATGCGTGCTTACCACAATCAAACAAATATTTCAATCGTATTTCGAAAGTAAAAGTACTTTTAAGCCCCTTATCGGATTTGAACCGATGACTTAAATGGTATGAAATCTTTTCCAATCAAATTCTTCATAAATCTTCCATGTACACTTTAATTTTTTTTTTTTTTAGAAGACGAGACCGAAATGCAGGTTGTGTGGATTCTGGACTTCTTGAAGTAATTTTTGATGTCGAATTATTTCTTAAACTAGTATTTAAAATACATGAATTATATTATAAGCAGGAAGAAGAAAGATATAAATTCAGTTGGTATGTCTGTTTAGAAGGTAGAAATATTATTAGTAATTGAAAAAACTTGTTACAAAACAACTAGGAAAGATTTGTTTGTGTCTTTTTAATTGTTTTATAGTTGGTTGGCCTTTTTTTTTTTCCATACAATGAATGAAACATTGTCCTAACATAATGAAATTACAATTTGACATGGAGGTCGGGAATTTTGTTTTAATTTTCCTTTTAAAGGGTCCTTGTAATCGCCTAAGATGTCATCTCTGATGGGAATGAATTAAAATGGCTTGCACAATCTAACTATATATTGGATTGTTTATATATATAGGAACGTAAGATACAGGAGTCTGGCTCCGCTCAATGGCACAAAACATGTTTTTTGCCAACAAAAGCAGATGCCCTTGTGCTTGGTTTCAGAAAGTGGTTCAACAAGTATGCTGGTGGTCAAGTTGATTGGAGAGGCAAATACAGTGGAGCTCTTCCCCCTTCTCCGCCTCGAGAACAGCTAATGGATAGGTAAATTGTCCATCTAAAATAGGAATCATTCTTATAATATTGTGGTCTTTTGCTTTCTTAATCTGTCTTTCCAATTACTTCCCTTTGCAATAAAAAAACGGCCTCACTCGGTATTTGTTGCAGCCCGCAATATGCAATGACAGAAGACGTCAGTAGAAAGCTAAGATCTGCGTTGTATAAAATTGTGATTTAGTTCTACTTACAAGTGGCAAGAAATTAGTACTTTAAGAAAATGTTACAAACCCATTAGGTAGAACTCGCTCTTACCATAAAGGCTTTTGGAAGATAATACAATTTCTTCTTCATTAATTAGATCAGAATACACAACAACAAATAAGTAAGACTCCTAGTACCACAAGATCCTAACTAATCCAAGTTTGTTTCTTGGATTTTATTGAACAGAAAAGCATAAAATCTTAACAAACCTTCCTAACTATCTTCGACACTAACATTCCACCATGCTCCACAACCGCCATCCATGACGGTCCATCTTCCCAGCTAGGTGACTTCGCAGATCTCACCTTCTATCAGGTAGCAGCCCTTCCTAGGTCGCCCCATCCGTAGGCAACATCTTCCCAGCTAGGTGACTTCACAGATCCCACCTTCTATTAGGCAGCATCCCTCCTTAGGTCGCCCCATCCGTAGGCAACAGTTACATCCATAGTACGTCCAATCTCATACTCGACACTGACCTGGCAGTAGCCCTTTCCTCTTTGGTGGCTTCCCTCGGCTTCAGTATTTGACACTTTGACGGATTCACCAACGCATCTTAATCCAGCTTATAATACAACTGCTTTTGACTCGAATCCGTGACGTGGTAGACTGTCTTTGATACCAATGGTTACAAACCCATTAGGTAGAACTCACCCTTACAAAACCGGCCTGCAAGGGGTGGGAACCTAAGGGCTTATAAACCCGCTATTTGTCTTATAATCATTCTATGTGGAACTTTTTGGTATCTAACAGAAGATTACTACACTAATGAACAACCTTTAACAATAAAAAAAGCTTGTGTAATACCTTGACCAGTTGTTCTTCCTTTCGACCTGTTATTGAAATTTCAAAGGCCATAAAATGATTTTATGGTCTCTTCATCACTAAAAAAATAATTCACTTCTATTGCATTTGGTGCAACATTAATTCTTAGGGCTTGTTATCAGAAACAAACTTTCTGTAATTAGAGACGAAACATATTAAATTTCATTTTGTTGAAACTCTTTTTAGGTATTGGTCCCATGTGGTGAACTGCCCCAGTTGTGCCGCGGCATACAAAGGTCTCAACATCCTCAAAGTCGTGCTGCAGCTTGTGTCTGTTGCTTTAATTGGCATTCTTGCTATAACCACGCTTGGTGAGACTTCAATGGCTAAAAGAACTACAATGGTTTCATTGGCAGTACTTTGCTTTGCAGCTTCAAAATGGTTGGCGCGCTTTGTCTACAAAAACTTCCATTTTCATGACTATATTCATGCTTTTCACTAGGACATGATATGTATGCATATCTAGGTAACCTTACTTTCGCGTATAATAAAAACACCATATTGAATACTGTAAATATATATGACATTATCCTCAATGCATGCATGCCGTGTCGAGATCTTCCGAGCATATTGAAGGTTTTAGAAGCTTGAAGATTATAAGGTAAAATTTTGCTATCCTATCCCTTTGTTTATTTCTTTTTTATGTTTTGAGCAAAAGCGCAGGAGTGTGGCAGGAGTGAGTCTTGTTTTTATGGCTCACACTACGTTTTTATATAAAGTTATGGGAAATTTTCAAGAATGCCATAAAAGAAAAAAAGACAACACTTTTATTTTTTCTATCAATTTTAAATTTATCATTTCTGGTAGGATATCTTTTGTAATCTATCGGAATATTTTTTTTTCTTCTCACAGGATACGTTTCATATTCTACCAGAAAACTTTTTAATGACGTAAATAAAAAGATGATGAAAAATAATAGTTATTCTTATATTTTTCTTTGAAATTAAGGTTGGGCTCACCTTTGTTTGAGAGAAGTACTGATTGGCAAAAGACAAATTTGTCATACGTTAGGTTGGTTTAGACGTTAAAATCTTCTTCCAATTTCAGATGCAGCTCATTAGCAATATGGAAAAAGAAAAAGGAGAGAAAATTGCAGAATTTACCCCTTAAACGGAGACGAAAAAAAGAACTCTGTGACTATTATATGCGTCAAGCATTCAGAAACCGATTCAACTCTGTTATCGATGTAAAATTACGCGATATACTAATTCATTATGGACTGGGAATAAAATTCTTCAGTGATCCCATGTATAGGTTCACCATTTAGAAAGTCTTAAAGAATACAAAAGGTTAAAATAGAACCACGTTTTATCAAAGATGTTAGGCTTTACTTATACATGCATAAGGATGAGGATTTATTCAGAACAGATAGTACCATAGCAGCCAATTAGAGCATTTTGATGTACTAAAAACTGAGGATTGATGATGGATTAGGGGGAATTGGGACTTCAATAGATCCTTCAAGCATTTGTATAACTTTCTTCATTGTAGGTCTTATTGATGGATCCTCTTGGATACACCATATCGAAACCATCACATACTTCTCCACCATCTTCATGTCACTCATTGCCTCACCATCATTTTCCATCAGAATGTATAGTTTCCCATCTTTATAGCAGTCATATGCCCAATCAGCCAGCACCATTTTGCTCTCGTCCTTTGCGTCTGCTTCGAAACTCTTTCTGCAACAAATAAGCTCTAACAAGAGAATGCCATAACTATAGACATCCACCTTGACAGTGATAGGCACGTTTTTGAACCATTCAGGGGCCACATACCCTTTGGTTCCCCGGATTCCAGTTGCAGTTCGTGTTTGGTCCATCTTCAAAATCTTTGCTAAACCAAAATCAGAAATCCTTGCCGTAAAATTCTCGTCCAAAAGGATGTTCTGAGGCTTGATATCGCAATGTATGATTTGGGTGCTGCACTCTTCATGCAAGTAGAAAAGCCCCCTTGCTATTCCCAGGGCAATTTGCGTCCTCTGGTGCCAGTTTGGTCTTGAAGGTCTGAAAATGAAGCTAGCTAGGGAGCCTTTAGTCATGTACTCGTACACAAGAAGCCGGTGTTGGGCTTCGTTGCAGAACCCGATCAGTCGTACCAAATTCTTATGATGTGTATGACCAATTGCACTAACTTCCGCTTCGAACTCCTGCTCACCTTCCTTCATCATAATTTCTAACTTCTTAACTGCGACTAGATTTCCTTTGTCAAATGAGAGAACTCCTTGGAAAACAGTACCAAAAGCTCCCCTACCTAGTTGTTCTCTGAACCCATCAGTAGCTTTTTCTAGCTCCTCATATCTGAAAGTTTGAAGATTCATACCCGGCATGGATTGGGTGTGTTGTGCTTGAGCAACTCTTGCACTTCTCTTGAAATGAAAAAGAACCAGAAAAGTTGCTAGTAATAAGAGAAGCACTGAGCTACTTATGACAGATATTCCAACGAGCACCACAGCTGAAATATGTTTCTTTTCGCTCTTGGTGGTCGAATAATCTTTTCTTACTTTGATCAGTGCCTTCCCACCATCACCTTCACTGTCTGCCCTCCCATTTCTGAGAGGATTTTGCAGCTTCCAACAACTAGAACGTCGAAAAATAACCGCAACGCAGAAACAATCACCCAAACAAGCTTTCCTGCATTGATCCTCATCCATTGGATAAAAATCCTCATAGTCAGAATAAGGAAAATCTACGTTTTCCATGGCATCAAAATAAAAATTATCAGCATCATGAGAATCTCCACTGCAATTTTGAGCCTCCGCCAGTTGTCTGCAGCCTTTCATTTCATTATTTGAATCGATAAACGAGTAACCACTTGGACAAAGGCAATTCGGCCTCTGTTCAGGACCTAATCTGCAGTAGCTGTTGAACCCGCAAGCTCCACTTCCAGTGCCTACTTCTGTAAGGCTTGTACAGATATTTGGAGGTATGGGGGTTGAAGAGTACCATATCATACTCCAACCCCCGGAACTCGTACTGCTGCTCTTCGGGTGAAAATAGTGCACGAAAATGCCATCGAATTCTAGAGTAGCCCTGTGGTAGAAGTCTGTTGTTGAGCTAGCGTTAGATGATAATATCTCAACTGCAGTGCCATTTTCTGCTTCAACATAAATAAAGCCAGACTGGTTAAATCTCAATAGATGGCCATCGTGTAACGTCTTGCTGTTCCAGTAGCCGGTATTAGCAGCATCCAAGGGTACTTTTCTTGTGTAAAGCACCAAATTTCCATCTGTTTGCATTGTGAGAAAAAATCTTCCAGTTGAATAGTTCATTTCCGAGTAGCGAGCAACAAGCTTCCTTCCTTGAGGCAAAGTTTGAGTTGGCAAAAGCGTATCTGTTGGTTCACTAAAACTCTCCCACAAATTGACCAAGTTTGTATCTACCAACACAAAATTTCCAGTGTCGAGCATGGCTGCATAAGCAACTGAAGTGCCAGTGTTACCCCGGCTCCACATCACATCACCTGCTGGACCCTTGAGGAAGAGCCCGAATTCAGTCAACTCAACTTTGGATCCCATTGGCGCCAGATTGTCTCTGTTGGCTGACCAGATAATAGTTTGCTGAGGGATGTTGCTGAACCAGATGGCTAGTAAGAAGCCATCTTTTCCAATTTGCTGGAAACCGAAAGCAAAATCACCTAAAGGCGATTTCCAGGACATATTATTGTTGATGGCAATGAGGGATGAGCCTAAAGATATGTTTGTTTGAGCTTGGGCAGTGGTGAGGAGTAGAATCATCGGAAAACAAAGCAAGAAATAGAGAATATATGATGTTGCCAGAGCCATGGTATGAGAATATGGGGAATTAGATGATTGCATGAGTACTCATGATATCATGAAGCACACAAAGCGAATATCATATAAATATATATATAAGAAGATGCTTATTTTTTATGTGTTTTCCTTGCTAAAAATTACAAAGGAGTAATCAGGTTTCTATAATGAAAACAAATATATAGGTTCAGTTTGTGACATTTATAATATTCTTTGGTAGTGACTCTCCAACTGGTTCACCGACTATAGCATCCTTACCTTAATCTCCAGAGACGGCAGTTTTTACAATATATTTTGTTATTCAAATTACTCGTCTTTAGAATCAGTTATTATTATCCATTATAGATACTTTTTTATCCGGTTATTAATGACAGAATTGATCTCGTTTTTATTTTTCACGTTTTTCAAAAAAAAAATTGAAAACGTTTTTAAAATGGCGTTTGGCGCAACAAAAATAAAAATAATTTTTTGGTTTAGTGTAAAATGAGAGAAAAATGAAAAACGACTTTTAGTCATTTTTCATTTTTTGTTTTCGTTTTCTCCTCTCTCGAGCAGATAAAGAATGAGATTGAAAACGTTTTCATTTTTATTTTCATGTAAAAAATAAAATTATTTTAAAACGAGTTCCAAACGCGTCCCAAACGCGTCCTGTATTAACAGAAATCTTTGTCTAGTATTTTGTAAGCACCTGTATTAAAGTTGCCGTCGTTCTTCTTAGCAAAATGGTAGAGTGACCCGGAAAACTTCATTATATCCCAACAAAGTCAACACATACGAAAAATGTATCCCATATTCTTGACTTAATTTATTGACTTAAAACGAAAAAAAACAAAAAAAAAAAACCCCCCACTAAAGTTCAAAAGAAAGGGAAAAAAAGAAGACATCTGAAAACTACCGTCTAATTTGACTTCTTAAAACCTTTATTGCTGTTCGGCATTTGGCATTCATATATTGCTTCGTTATAACTTTTGATATTTAAGTATTCATAGATTGCTATCTTGACCAAGCCTCCATATGGTGATATATAGATTACTTCAAAAATCTGAGTCATTCTTGTTGTTTCATATGGAAGCTGCGAATTAATCTAATAATCTCTATACTTTTCTACTTTGTGGCACTCATGTGGGTATTATAATTTTAGCCCTAAGATACTAATTCGACGATTATAATAAATTACATGGTTGATTAAAAAAATTTATGACAATTAATGAAACTAGATTTTTTATCATGTCACGTTATCAAATTTTTATATTTAATAGTAACTATCGATGGAAACATAACCATTAAAAATTCGTCAATATATTATTATATACATTTACTTATTACAAATACTAAGAAGAAAAGGAAACAACAACAAAAGGAAACGAATAATAATTCTGTTAGTTAAAAAAATTGGCAAGGACCCAGGGTTTTATTTTAGAAACTAATATTATATTGTATAAACTTGGGATAAAATATAAATGAACAATAAAACTATAGGGACATATAACTGATTACACGAAAAATTAGGTCGATGGCTGGTTTAATTTGACCGTCCCTTTTAAATTAATGGCCAAACTTTTTTTTTTCTATTTTATTTTTTTATGTACATGGCTGTTTTCAATCATTGATGTGCCATTGTATATCGTTGATAAACTGGTTTATCATCTATTTACTAATAGTTTGTCAATGATAAATCAACAAATTATTAATTAAAATTGGTTAATTGCTAACTTATATTAGTCGATCAATGATTAAAATTAGTTAATTAGTGATAAACTATTGAGTCAATCAGTGATACACTACTGAGTCAATTAATGATAAATAAATTTGTTATTATATATCATGTTTTAGCATTGATAAGGACCATTTCATTAATTTTACAAAACCTTGAATACTTACTAAAAGAAATAGCTAAAAAAGGTCATATTTTCACAAATCCATTTATTAGAATTACATGACAGTTAATGTTCTGTAAAAAAAAATACACAGTCAACAAATAGGTTATTCAGCGGTGATGATCACCATCGTTAAAAATACGATGCCATCGCTAAAGAAGTTTCTGTCGTCGCTAAATATTAGTCGTCACCATAAATTCCATTGTTAAAACCTTTTAGCGATGTCTCTATCATTGCTATGCTTTTGCAACACCACGCTTCTTTCACTAATTGTCCAACAAACCGAATTGGATCATGCACTCTTAACCGAATTGTGTTTCTTCCTTCGTTGGCTTTATTGTGTTTCTTCTTTTGCTTCTTTTGTTGGCCTTTGTGATTGGATTTTGAACTTTTTCATTTTTTTTTTCTTATTAAAAGGTATAAAACTATTGTCGGCTTAAGTTTTTTAAATAAATTGATAAACTCACATGATATTAAAGAGAGAAGTCTTGAGTTTAAACCTCTATAATTATACTCTTTATCTCTATTTAAATTATCATCACGTGTTAGATTTAATTTATTAGAATATGTTACGCTTCTCTCACGTAATTATCTTTTCAGCCAAAAAGAAAAGAAAAAGGTTTTGAGCCACTTAAAAAGTAACTTCTCTTGATTATGATACCTCCTAAAAATAAAAATAATAAACAACTGTGCGTGGCGAAATTTGTTGTCTTAGACCTAAAAACACAACGAGTTTGTTTTTTGTTTTTTGTTTTTTTTGTTTTTTTTTTCCATTCTTTCCCTTGGATAATTTTCTTTTCTACCAAGGATTTTAACGAGGACTCTCCTTTTGCGAGAGAGTAGATCATATCAGGTGGTTTCTTTTCTTTTCTCCGATGTTTCCTTGCTTCTCCAGAAGTTAGAATTGAACATTTTGTTGTTATTTCTTTTCATTCTTACTAGTAAATTTTGGTCAAGGTATAACATTTCTGGCTAGAGGTGTCAATATATTTGGGATGCCATAATGAATTTAAAAAATCATATGCAACCATGCATGACGCTGTTAATCATATAAACGATAATAGACTCTATATTTAAGTATTCAACAGCTATTATATTTTGCTTTTTCTAGTTTTCATTGGCTCATTGTTTTAATAGTTTTAATTGGCTTTCTAAGCCATGTATTTGACTTTTGAAAAATGAAACTTAGGTACAAACATATCCACAATATGTTATCCAAGCGATTCACAAACTCTCACACTACAGATCTTTATGGCTTTTCATGGATAACAAGCTCATATTATATTTACAGTATACATAAATATGCTGTTTTCATTAAAACATGTAAACTAGCGAAAAGCGTGATTGTAGTCATGATAGTGAAAGACTTTGTAGACAAAGTGAGCCAACCATTTTGAGGCTGCAAAGCACAGCACGGCCATCGAAACCATAGCCGTTTTCACAACCATGGATGTGATGCTTTGTTTGGCTGCAGCAACAATTCCAAGCAAAGAAATGGAGATGACTTGCAACACAACCTCAAGGACGTTGAGCCCCTTGTATGCAGCATTGCAACTGCTGCAGTTCACCACATGAGTCCAATACCTGAAAAATGTCCAAAAACAATGAGCAAGTACTATCGAGCCTACAAAGATTTTGACTCGTTCATATAATTCCTCCAATCACTAACAAATAGGCAGGAGAATTGAAGTAATTTTTTAGTATCGCAATATATTTCAAGTTAAGGACCTGAAATGTTAAGCAGAAAAGAAATGAGTTCATGAGTTTATATACAGCGAGAGGGGATTGTATGAATTTGTTTATAAACTTTCTATGTGATTGAATTAACAATGGACTGGATTACTATTAAGACACAAAACTTTATCGTTCTCAGATCCTCTTATTGTCTAGTAAGACGCCATAAGCATAACTTCCTCATTGTACATCAAAAGGGTAGTGGAAAAATTATTCCAATTTGGTAGAATGACTCAGTTTTAATTTACCTGTCCATAAGCTGTTCTCTTGGAGGAGTTGGGGGAAGAGCTCCACTGAATTTGCCTCTCCAATCAACTTGACCACCAGCGTACTTGTTTAACCACTTTCTGAATCCAACCACGAGCGCATCCGACTTTGTTGGCACAAAACATGCTTTCTGCCACTGGGAAGGGCCGACATCCATTATCTTGCGCTCCTATGGAAAGAATTTAAGAAGCCAAAAGGACATGCTGCTTAGGACATCGGCAAGTTGACTTATCGGTGAGTTTTATCACATCTTGTCAATTGAATATATATGTAGTGTTGGGAGGATCAAAAAATTCCATAGATGGAAAATTGTTTATAAACACAGAGTTAGGAAGGCACCTCGACATGAAGCAGATATAAATCTGAATCCAGAATCAAGTTTTGCCCGATATGAAACATCCATCGCGGAACAACTTTGTCAATCCAAACCCCAAAGTTTCTCGGAAATGTCCATATCAATCTGCTCTTACCCGGACTAACAGGAATGCAAATAAAAACTAGAACCATTCTCTTCTGAACTGATGAGTCCTTTAGAAAACCAAAAAGAGATGAAGAAAATTAGTCAAACACAAAGATGGAAAACAAACAGATAAGATCAACTCTTGCTACCAGTCATTAGTGTTTACATACATACAGAAACAAAGATAAAGGTAACGTATTATTACCTTTTTGGTGCCGGTAGAAGAAGAAGCCCCGTTATCTTGATTTGGTGTAAGAGGGATAGAAGAATAAAACACACATGGTGCACAAAACCTGTTGAAACCTGCAGGCTCTCGTCTTCCATTGAAACCATCGGTGTTAAAGTTATCCACACTCAAGTCCAGGGGTATGCCCCCTTCCCTATCAGCCTTACCTACGAAGAAACATGGAAAAACTATTATATATGCTTTGTCTACATAAAGAAAAGTCAACATTAGCATTCATAGAGGGCGCAGATCTCTGTACTTTTGCGCTGTGGCGTCCGCATTATTCCGTAATGTGCGTACGGAACATGCGCAGGGTCCATGAGATTTTCAATCAAGACCTCGTATCTGAAAATGCAAAGTATAAAAAACAACGAAGTATGTTAATTTGGAAGAGCTAGGACATAGAAAAAAGAGTTGAAGAATAGGCATAACTTCGGTAAAAAGGAGTCCATCATAGTTGAGAGTATTGCTTTGCCTACCCGTAGGGGATATCTCTATTTCCCATCAACTTAGTGAAGGATGGATCATCGATTTCTGATATGTAAGGGGGTTTTTTCTTCATAAGAATATCTTTGTATTGAGGATCAGTGTTTGGCCAAAACCATACAATGCCATTCTGCACAGTGCTTGGATAAATAGCTGCACATGCTTTCTTGAAAGTGTGAACCTGCATAATATGCTCCCAAGTGTTTAATCATTATCATCTTTGCAAAAAAGGGTATTATTTTGCTTAGGGTGAATACAATTTGAATACAACAATAATGAATAAATAAATTCTTCACTTCAATGTTAGTAGCCCTTTTCTTTAGTTTATTGAAGAACAGAAAACCAAATTATGTATTATTCGCGGGTTGGGTGGGTGGGATTATCCCAATCTGTGTCCAATCTAAAAGTTCCCTGAACCCAACCTAACCTAACCCAACCCAACCCAGCACAAAAGCATTGGATACTACTGATGAAATTTTGTGGATTATGAGAATTAGGCCTAGGATTTGGACATCTAAAATTAAGGCCCAGTTCATTTCATCGATTCGAGTTTAGAATTCAAGTTTTGCTACAGTAAAAAAATTCTCAGAAACAGTCACATCTAACTTTTTTGCTACAGTAAAAAACTCTCACATAAAGTCACATCTGAACTCAAATCAGCAAACTAAACGGGTTCTAGACTCTTAAGACCTTCTTTTTCCACTTATTTCAAAAAGTCATTCTAAAATTAGAAATTTACGTGCAACAATATAAAAAGTAGATTATTTTCATAAATGTCCCCGATTATGTATCCTAATTCATCAAGCCCTCCAATAAACTTTGAAAATTGTTCATTTCACGCCCTAAACCATATAAAATTCTTAAAAACACCCTTTTCGTCTCTGTCTGTAATATTAATAGAATGATGATGTGATGCTAATTATAATTTCATAAATGCTCTATGAACTATATAAATCAGGGGTAAAACGAATCCTTTTTAAAAGTCGGTTGGCATGTTGAACTAGTTAGCGCACATAGTTGAGGAGGTATTTATGAAATTGATCCAAAATAGTTTGATGAAATCCTGTTTGTTACAACCTGGTAAAATTCGAGTCTTTGACAATAAACTAAATTACAACATTACAGTAAATCATAACAAACAAACTTATATATGTATATATAATATACATAGTTCGAATTTTGCGGATCGATAAATGCTCAATCTGAAACGAAACCCAAATTTTCGGATTAGGATTTTGTCAACCTGTATCAGATCAAATGTCCTCCCAATCTCATTTAACCAGCGTGAATTGGTTTGGGTTAGGCAAATTAATCGGAATCAAGGATTCGATGAACACCCCTAAGCAAAAACATTCAGACAAGCCCTACTATGATTATAAGATAACAATCTCTAATATGATAATATATATCAATAGTTGGAATATTCCATCTTTTATAAATTAAATAATAATTGTTATAATAACAGCTTTATTATATGTCACAAGAATCACATAAAATATTAAAATATCATAAGACATGGAGATAACAAGAAACAAAAGAAAACACTTGTGGAAAGAACACTAATTACCGGAGGTCCATCAGGAGGTGCTTGAGGGATGAAGTTGCAGTCACCGGAGCCATTAAAACACCAACCATGATAAACACACTGCAACCGGCCCCACTGATCAATCCTCCCTTCAGAGAGTGGTGCCAATCTATGAGGACAACTATCATCAAACACCTTCCAATCACTCTCATTCCTGTCCCACCACACCACCACATCAAGACCAATCACCTTCTTCCCATGTGGGACCCTCTTATCCAGATCACAAACCGGCATAACCGGATACCACTGCGAATACCAATCGAATTTGCCACCTGGGGTTTCGGTTCTGACCTCTGGCTGAGGTGGGTCTGAAAGATCTGTTGAAACAGACGATGATATGGTGGTGAAAAGCTCGAACCTTGATGGATTTCTTTGACGATGATCAGAACAAAAAGATGAAGTGGGTAAAAATGGGTTAACGTTTGAGGAAATGAGTTTTCTGAATTGGGTTTTGTTGTCAAGTCTGGATGGAAGTCCAAGAGAATGAACAGGAGAAGTTCTGAGAGCTTCCATGGCTGCAGCTTCCACTTTTTCGGAAGAGTAGAAGAAGAGGAGAGAGTGTTGAAAACTTTAACAATAAAGTTTGTAGTGGGGCCCTTCAGGGAAAGACGTGAGGCTCATCATATTTTGGATATTTCAGAGTGATTGTGCGGACGATACGCAAAGAGAGGCGTTTTTTCTACTTGGGAGTGAATTCAAAATATGGTTCTGCATGTTTTTGGAAGTAAATGAACCAACTGCTCATTATCACTTTTGCTTTATTTTTTTATTATTATTCTTTTTTTTATAGAAGACTTGCTTTTTTAACAACGACTTCTTCCCTAAACTAATGGAGAAATAGTAGGAAATAGACTAATATAAAAAATTAAAAAAAGTATATAAGTTAATTTTTAATTATATAAATTAATAGGTTATAACTTGTTAAGTTATGGTTTATAATTAGATAAGTTATGGATAAATTTATCAAGTTATGGTTCATAGTCAGACAAGTTATGGATAAAAACTGAGAATAACTTATCAAGTTATGGTTCATAATCAGACAAGCTATGGACGAAAACAGTAATTTGGCCTATTTATTAACTTATGTAAACTATTGGCCTATTAATTTTAATTCATCTCAAGTTTTGGCCTATTTCTCTCTTTCTCCCAAACTAATATACCAATAGATTAAGGCCTCGTTCATTTTATCAATTTGAGTTTTCAATTTTAAATTTTTACAGTAAAAAATTCTCAAAAAATGTCACATTTAACTTTTTTTGCTACAGTGAAAAGCTCTCAAAAAATATCACTATAAAATCTCCCTTTTAAGAATTTGTGCGATGAGAGTCATGAGACCTAAAAGAGAAAATGAAAAAATATTAAAAAGAAAAATTCTCTGGTACACTTAGCGTACTTATAAGGATTTTTTACTATTAAATTTGTGTACTTTTTAATTTTTACGTGATTTTATGCATATCTAACGGATAAAAAATCTAACATACTGGTATGTTAGGGTACCAAAAAAAAGTCTCAATTAAAATTTTGGGGTCATTTTTTATTTGTTTGTCAAATTTTAAAAAGAACCTCGACGGTGAGACTCTAAGACCTCATTCATTTCACCGAATCGAGTTTTCAGTTTTAGGTTTCTATAGTAAAATGTTCTCAGAAAATGTCACATTTAACTTTTTCTGCTACAGTGAAATGCTCTTAGAAAATGTCACATCTCAGTTCGAATTAAAAACTCGAATCCGTGAAGTGAACAATGCCTAACTTTGTTTTATGAATTCTCAATTAGTCCCACTTAACCTATTAAAAATTGGCAACTTTTATGATAGAGCATGCTTTTTTGCCTTACAGGTAGGTAAGATTGTTTTAACCGTTAAATTAACTTTTTAACGGTTATATATGTGACTGAAAATAATTATGTGTCGCACATCTCAAATTTTTAACATGAACTCTCACAGAATTGACTGTTAAAAAATCAATCAAACGGCTAAAACAGTCTTACCTATTGATGGAGCAAAAAAGCTTACGCTACGAAAAATATTGCCTTAGAAATTTTGTTAAAAGCAGATAAAAATAAGAGATTAAATATGATCATGTGGTATTTTTCTCATTTGTTTTAATATAAATTCTAACATAGAAAAACAAGACTCCACTAAAGACATTTTTCTTTCTCCATCCGCTTTTAACAAAAATTCTTATATAGAGAATTAAGTGAGATTAATTTAAAATTTAGAGACACAATGCGAGTCTTAAATTTATTTAAGAGGTAAACAATGGATAACTCAAAAGTTGATGGGACACAAGTACGAATAATCCAAAAAAAAAAATCATTCACACACCACAGTTCGAATAGCACAGGCCTCACACATAATGAAGATAACGGGAGTGCTTCTTCGACCAGAACCGAAAACGTAATACTACATTACGTGAATTGTTTGTGTAAAAACTGATCCATGGAGGTAAGATGTGAATTTATGTCATTATTTGAATTATAGTTTGTAATTCGTTACAGTATTTTCTCTCATAAAAAATATACGTAAATTAAGAATAATTCTGAATCATAATTCTAAATTTATGAACCAAAAAGTCCACTTAACCTTTACTTTCCTTCTTTTATGTTCTGTGACTAGTTTTGTTCACATCTTTTGGTTTGTTATAGAGCTTCTGGTTTTCATTTGCATTGCAGTGAGCCCAGAAAAGAGCAGAGAATGTGATAAGGAGATCTACAAAGAAACTTCAATGTTTGGACCGAAAGTTGTATGTTTCATATTAGCCAAAACTTGATTCTGGATTCAGATTACAACTGCTTCATGTTGAGGTGACTAATAACATTTTGCATTTACGAATTATTTTTCATCTAAGAAATTTCTTGATCCTCCTTAACACTGGCACAATTATTGACAAGCTGTACAAATAAAACTGAGCTCATGAAACAAAGCATAATAATAATAATAATAAGACAACGCTAAAACCATACAAATACAGGGGACAAATGTGCATTTTTTGTGGCGTCATTCTTTGAGCGTGCAATTAGATCCAGACATGATTGGCACTTAAATATTAGAAATATACAAGCAAAACAAGAGGAAGAATAACGAGACACAGAATGACATTTTGTAAAAAGAAAGGGAAAAATGACCTTATGAAATATTTCATTCAATGTCTCCTCGCAAATAATAAAGGTTACAAAGGAACCTGCATGCTAAGCTCGTTATTGCCATTTTCACGGATAATTCGATAGGTGAGACGAGCCCCAAATGTAACAATTTCATGTTAATTAAGGTCCTGTTCTTGTCAAGTTTAAAATTGCCGGGAAAGTTCAAATAGTATAATGTGGCCTTAACCACAAAAAACTTTGAGAAATGAATGCTGTGATTATCATATTTGTGAACTGCTACTTAGGCTCAAAACAAGAACTAGAACACAGCCGAAGTAAATTATTATTTGAAGGTTTCAACTCGACTCTAACAAAAATCTCCACACCAGCGCAGAACTCTTCTACAACCCAATAGATTTCTCAAACTTCTGAACCTGGTTGAGGAAAATCCATGTCATCTGCATCCAGGAAACATCACCAATAGTGAGCAAAACATCGAAAATAATATGAACCTTTAAGTCAAAGAAGATAGCTCTTCGTTTAACCAGACTCATCTAGGAACGAGGATAATTTGAGACAACAACCAATAAGCCAATCAAAGATAATGAATGAGAGAGACAGAGAGAGAGAGTACCATGACGTGAGGAGCAATCCTAACACAATACACAGGGAAACCGGTGTAAAATTTAAATGGTCCTCCAGCTTTGAGGGTCTTCAAAGCACAATCTAAAGAGCCGGTGTATGGGTATTTCCCTTGAGCATCAGGTTGCATTTTCTGAATCTGGGTTTTGACATAATCAAAGGGCAAACTGCAAGCGGCAGCAAAGAACCCAGAGACGGAACTTGCAGCTGTAAACAGAAAAAGGAGGCCCGGGTTAAGAAAGTTAAAACATCAAAAATCTTTTCCAAATAATCAAAGACATGCAACAAATATTTAACATGACGCACATGTTGATTCATAAATGTTGTGCTGTCTTGACAAATTAAATTATATTTACATGTAATTTGTTGTGCTAATAAGTTAAAGCTATGAAGTAGCGCAACAGCCTCAACTGATTCAGAAAAATCATAATTTCAAGCCGAAAAAGTTGCAGAAAAGAAAAAAGCGCAATTTAATAAACAATGACTTCATTCAATTGCCATACACTGTTCCTCAACTGTTTTATCCCAAAATGTTGCTAACTTGCCAACCCCAAAAATAAGGTTTTAAAAAACTACTTGGTTCAAAATGGTGTTCCAGTGAATTAAACAAGGAAAGAAGAAAAAAGAGAGGGGAGGGTGTAAAAGGAAGGAAAACATGCAACGTGTTAAGGGAACCGCAGGACACCCATCGCACCAAACAAATAAATAAGTCACAGACAGACAGACAAACAGATGAGATTTAGTAAAACTAGATCTCAGAACATTCAGAATCTTAATTCAACAACTGTAAATAGGACTACAGACCGGTCACTAATTGTCTTATCACGACGAATCTCTATCACATAAAAGAGGCCTTGAAAGTTATTCACCTAACACTAGAGAGAGATGCACACGATCTATACGACTATATGAGACACATTTGAAAAATGAAATATGCTACCGCATGTTCAACAAAACTTTCAATTAACATTGGAAGAAATGAAATTTTTGTTGAAATAAAGCCCATTTAACTTAAGAAGACATCAAACCATATCAAACTGTCTTCAAAGAACAATACCTAACACTGTAGAAGCTTCGCCAAGGCCCACAGAATCCTTGAAGAACTCAACACTTTGATCATAAGAGGCAAGCATTCCCATGTTCAATGCCATTGCTCTGACTACAGTAGGACCTGCACCCTTCCAAAGGGCCAATACCCCTTCATCAGAAACAATCCGATAGAGGGCATGGAAAGCATTTTTGTAATTCCGGCGCTGCGCAACAGGCAAGGTGGCATCAGCCTGCATACGAATGAGAGCCAAATCTGCCGGACTACCAACAGAAGCTCCAATAGCACCAGCGGTCAGCCCACACAAAGCTTTTTGATACAAGGGTAGGGGCTTCCCATCATTCGCCTCAATCGCCTTGTTCGTCAATATCCTAAAAAAGAGAAGTGTAAAGTCCAGTGTTAATAAGAATAACAATGATATATCGCAGTCCACGTGATAAATTTTCTTGCCAGGATCCAGGAAAAACAAAAAAAAAATGAAACAATCAATAAGAAAATGGATTTCAGAAAAGGGAAAGAGAAAAATCTATTGTCCTATAATAACTTGCTTACTTAAGTACTGTAAATCACTCACTTGAAAGATCCAAGACGGGCAGTGGTGTAAGTCGCTTGTCTCAGCAACCCAGCAGACAGACCCTGCTCAAAAGTAATGTCTATTAGACAAACAAATGAGGAAAATAATTTTTTCCTTTTCAAATGAGAAACCTATTTCCAAACATTAAATCTGACCACTAAAGGAGTCAAACCAATTTCTTAGCTTGTAAATTCAAAGGCCTTAGTCTACACAGTAAATCCAACCACTTTTACAACAGCCTCTAGAAATGCTAATCAAAAACAAAAATGTAAACTTTACATTAATTTCTACATTTCCCATGGCTTCACAAGCATGGCAAATACCCAACTGCAAAATAATCTAGAATATTCTAAAGGCCCATGTTCCAAAACTAAACAAAAAGATCCATATTTATCACAAAGTTCCTAATGAAAAAACTTGATACATAACTCAATTATTCCTCATCAGATCAACAATACAAGAAAATAAATAAACTCAATTCAAAAAAGAGACAAACCAAACCTTGTAAAAGGCACCAACACCCTCCTCCTTAAGCATGGTTTTGGTGACCTGTCCTGCCGATCCCTGACCCAATTGAATTCTCACCTACAAAAACAAAAACAGCCAAAAAACCAAGACAAACCCAGTAAAGAATAAGCCTCCATTTGATCAACCAAAAGCAAAAATCTTTCAGCAAATTCCAAAACAAGCATCGAATCACAGATCCAAAACCCATAAAACAAAACACAAAATTTATCTAAAAATCGAACTGATTCATCAACAAAACGGAGAAAACAGAAATGGGTATGTAACAAATCACAAAAATAAACAGAAAATAATGAACCTTGATCATATCTATGGGTTGGATGACGCATGTGGCGAGCATACCGGAGGCACCGCCATTGACGAAGGGCTTCACTGTGGGCCAGACACCGGTGGATTTGGGCTTCTTCTCGTCTCCCATAATTTTTTTTTTCTGTACTCAGAAGAGAGTAAGAGCTCAAGCGGGAGAGAGAGAGAGAGAGAGAAGAGATCGGCTAGAGAGAGAAACTCTCTACGGTTTGTGCGTTGTTGTTGCTCAAAAGGAACGAGAAAACGGAGGAGCCGAAGTTGGCTGCAATTTAAGGAAAGCAAAGCAGTGGTGCAAAAACACAAAAACCCTCTCTTGGTGGAAATTATTTTAAAATTGTCTTTTATTTTATTTCAAATAATAAAAAGAAAAAAGGTGAACACAAGTTTTCTGTTGGGTGCATGACCTCAGATTTCCAACAAATTACAGTTTTGGTATGGGACAACTTTTGGCTCGACTATTTTTAGGTTAATTGACCATTTTGCCCTTCTCGTTTATTTCATTTGGGTTTCCTATATATACATTCCAAGGCCACAACCCCTAAACTTTAGGAGTTTGGTAAATTGATCCTTTTAATTTTTTTTTTTTTTAGCAATTCATCTCTTAAAATTTAAAATTAATTGTATTATTAGTCAACTTAAAAATGAAGTTAAAAATTTAGACAATGTCTTCCACGTGAATGTTTAATAAGAATAATTCTGGTCTTTTGCATCAAATTGAACCCTTTATGCACATCATGCGTGAAAAAAAAAAATTAATTGGGGGATCCAAATTTTTCTTCCAAAACAGTTAACTCACAATTTTTAAAAAAAATTTACCCATGATGCATATATGAGGATCAATTCGATGCAAAAAATGTTAATTATCCTTATTAAATACTCACGTAGAAGATATCGTCTAAATTTTTAACTTAGTTTTCAATTTGACCAATATTGTAATAAATTTTTAAATTTAAGAGGTGAATTGTCAAAAAAAAAAATTAACAGACTAATTTGTCAAACTCATAAAGTGAGCGAGTGTCCATCGAAATAGCCTACATTCCATATAGGAACAAAGATTAAAAAAAAGAAAAATCTATTCAGTCTTTTTTTTTTTTTTTGCTTGAAATATTCGATCTTATATGGTAATATTGGATTATACCCATCGCAGCAACATTAAAGATTCTTTTATGTTTCATTGATGTCTAATTGTGCTAAAAACCTCCCTTCCAATGTGTTTTTGGATAAAATTACACAATCAAAAGGTAATAAATAAATAAATAAGAGAGAATTGAGATAAATTTTGGGTTCGTTTAGTTCGCTGATTCGAGTTTTTAATTCGAGTTGAGATGTGACTTTATGTGAGAACTTTTTACTGTAGCAAAAAAAAAAAATTAGATGTGACTGTTTCTTAGAGCTTTTTACTGTAGTAAAACTCAAATTCTAAACTCGAATCGGTAAAATAAATTAAAAAAATAAAGGTGGACCTCCATGGCCGAAAAGGGTGAGTGGCGAGGGCGGGAACAGGGCTCAAAAATTGTTGTAGGTAGACCCCAACGTCATTTAACACATTTAAACCTTAAAATATGTAAAAGTGAGTTAAGTAAATTTATTTTTTTAAATGACGTAACATAACATAATTAATTAGAAAGCAACGTAAGTTAGTTTGTTGATTGCATTAGTTCACAGAAAGTTGAGACAGAACATAGCGACATTACTACCTCTAACAAGACAAAACAATATACAACATTATTTAGTGTTATTTACCTTAATACATATGTTTTGTGCATATTAAAAATAATTTACATTTTCTATTGCTGCAAATATATACTACTAAATTATATTTTTGATAAGTATGTTTATATCATCTCTCGATCAACACTGGACGAAGATTCAATTAGATTATATTTGAAATATCATCAAGTAATTTTAATTTTTAAAAACACAGCTGGAGGAAGGAATAATGAATTACGCAAAAAGAGAGATTAATCTGTCCTTCCTCTTCTTGTTAGTTTCACAGAACTCCAATAATATGAGTGTAAGATCTAAAATACTCTATGTATTCTTTTATATGGAAAATGATGTTATTATACACCATTATTATTGTTGATGATGCAATTAGCATAAATTTAACAGAACTGTAATAATATAAAACCCTAATGTCATACATTTTTATTATGTGACTCTTTTATTGTGTTGTCACTCTTGTCAAGGGTGAAGCCACTGCGGCCGTGCTTAGAATTGATCTCGTTTTTATTTTTTATGTTTTTCAAGAAAGAAAAATGAAAACATTTTCAAAACAGCGTTTTGCGCAATAAAGACAAAAAACAGAAATGAAAACGATTTTTTGGTTTAATGTAAAATGAGAGATAAATGAAAAATGACTTTTAATTGTTTTTCATTTTTTATTTTCGTTTTCTCCTCTCTCGAGCAGAGAGAGAGAAAAAGAGACATTAATGGGTTTTTTTACACTGAAAATAATCCCTTAATAAAACTACCAAATGCATTTTTAAAAATGATTTATGTCTGATATTGAAAATATTTTCATTTTCATTTTCATATAAAAAATAAAATTATTTTGGAACGAATTCCAAACGCGCCGTGCATATCTTGGGGGACTTAAGCCCCCCTTAACTTTTCTTTTATTTGCCATTTTATATGTTCATTTATGCCAAATATGTAAAATAGCCCCCCTAAAAGTTAAAAACTTTCTATTTCTTCCCCCAAAAATTAAAACGTTATTGCTATATAATATAAATTTTGTTAAAAATTCGTATGAAATTTTGAGTCATACCCCCACTATATAATAAAAATTATAATTGTGCTCTGACTGAATAATTACAAAATATACTATATCTCTATTCGGAAAAAAAAATTATTGCTATTTTTTTCATAGTAACCTAACAAAATCCTTTTTTTGACTCCACTATTGATTAGCCCTTCTTGGCTAAAATTCATGACTTCCACTCTTGTAATAATGCATCATTTGTGCTAATAAAGACAGGACACTCATTTTATTTTATCTTTCCTTATGGCTTACGACGTGGGTTTATTGATGGATACCCTAATTTTTTTTAAAAGGACCAAAATACAGTTACGTTTGGTTGATAAATTCAAAATCACGATTCAGAACCATTCTCGATTTACATATATTTTTTGTGAGAAAAATACTATAATGAGTCACGAATTATGATCCGAACCATGACACGAATTCACCAACCAAACGCTACAGACAATCACCTTTCTTTTTTTCTAAAACCTATAAATGCAACCCCTTTGAGATCTGGCCATTGCAATTTTGATTATTAAAAGACATGTTCACTATCTGAGCAAAATTCATACATACATTTCTTTCAATTTTTGTGAATTGATAAATCCAGAACAATATGGGTTCGTCCCTGGACCATTTTCTTACTTTCTTGCAACATGAAAAACTCATTAAAAAAAAAGAAAAAAAAAAGAAAAACATAAAGTGTGTAGAAAAGGGTAATTTTGGAAATTCAGTTCATATATATATATATATATATATATTAAAAAAAAGGTCAGTTTGTTTTGCCTTTATTGTCTTTAAAAGCAATCTCTTTATAGAAACATCTATGAGTTGAGATAATTTATGGGCATCGTTCATTTTACGGATTTAAATTTTTAATTTGAGTTAAAATATAATATTTTTTTAGAGTTTTTAACTGTAGCAGAAAAAGTTAAATGTGATATTTTCTAAAAATTTTTTACTGTAAAAACATAAAATTAAAAACTCGAATCAGTGAAATGAATGAGTCCCCAGTATGATTGGCTTGCGGTCGACTACGGTCACCTTTCACATGCAAATTTTGCATATTCAAAAGGATAAATAAGTAATGAAATAAAGAAAGCTGTCCCTAAGAATAAAAAGAAAACGATGTTTCCATGACGGATTTCTCTAAAGTAAATAGAGCAAAACTACGATGTTGTTTTCGTAATTTAATATTAGGAATTAATGCTTGACAACGCCCGCCAAACGGGGACCTCAGTCCTATGTAACCCTAGGAGAACTTGCCTTCAAGAAATTAAATTGCCTTCAATAAATTAAATTACTAAATTGTCCTACTAATATAATTAGTTGACTGAAATCTCGACAATTACTATAAATTTGCTTAAATGCTTCCTTGTGATTTTGGTTGTCACTTTAAAATCAACAGGAAAAAAACAAAAATTGTCTCGGCCAAGAGAAAATTAAAAAAAAAAAGGAAAAAAAAATACGCCGGCGATTTTACTTGTGAGTCTAACTGTCTATTAATTGTTTGATGGTTGGCTTGACCCGAATACCACTTTTTTTTTAACGAACTTTTTTTTTCCATCTAATTCTGTACAACAATACAAATCTGTTGCTCTAATGGGAAAAAGTTAGAATACTGATCCAATTTCAAAAAGATTACAATAATTAAGTGCAATGAAAGTTGCTTACTACTTGTAGGATTTTTTAGGGTGTTATTAACAAAGGAGCATCTCAATCTCCTTTGTGACGGTTGTCTCTGCATTCACTAATAGCTCGTTTAGTTCATTAATTTAAGTTTTTAATTCGAGTTAAAATATGACTTTATATGAACACTTTTTAATGTAGCAAAAAAATTAGATGTAATTATTTCTGAACATTTTTTACTGTAGCAAAACTCAAATTCTAAACTCAAATTAGTTAAATGAACGAAACCTAAAATTGTCTTCTTTGCCTTCATGACGAGGCCAAAGCTACTCATGGAGACGAAAAAGTCCACAAGCCACGAGGATGAAGATGACAACAAAATATTAAAATAGGGGTAAATCCGGGAACTTTGGGTCCAAGTGGTAAATAAGTTAAGTGGTTCAAACAAGTTCAATTGAGCCAGCTGTTGGAAAATAATTTGTGAGGTTTGGGTTAAACCAAAAGAACCTTTTCTTTTCTTGATTTTTTTTTTTTTTTTTTTGGGGACATTTTTAAAACATCCGGTCATTTCCTATAATAATTCTGAGAAAGTTGTCCCTTTCTTATAATTCCCATTAACTTTTATTCACTGCTTTTGGTCCATCAGTTAAAAATTCAACAATTAAAAATGTTTGTTTTACATTAAAAAAGATGAGAAATCTAGGAATTAGAATCTTAAGAGTTCTTGTTAAGAAAATCAACTCTAATGTTCTTGTGAACAGCTTCGGGCATAGGTCTCCGAGTGAAACAATAATTTGTAACTTTGACTCACCGGTCGAAAAGGAAAATATTAGGGTGTAGAAGGTGGAAATCTCTTCTTCTAATGTCCTTATTAATATAATGATTAACGGGTGCAAAGTGATGCAAATATGAAATCCTCAAATTCA